CATTTACAAAACAAACTGTACAACTTGTGTATTTTTTATTGATGTTGCTTGCAAACAATAATTCATGCTTTCTCATAGTTTTGGGTACAAGAAACAGGACGGTATTAGGACAAAAACTTCTTAAAATATCTGTTAGTTGTGTAATTGCAACCCGGATCACTCCGGGATTCAAACCTACGTCTCGAACACACTCACCTAGCGCGTCCAGGTCGAGACCGGCCACGTCTATCTCACAATCGTAGAAGACATTTCCGTAATTCTTCCTACCGATGGTCAAGTGGGGCACCACACAACTGCCATCAAGACGAATGTATTCTGTAAAAACATTTGTGTAACGTTATAAATCATAAACACACAGGAGTGTATTGTTATGTAGTGGCAGTTTCTTAAAAGGTAGCGACTTATATCTTTGCGGATATCTTTTTAGTTCATTAAAAGAATGACATTATTCTTTGTTACATATTTTTGAGGGCTCTTGAACTGCTTTCGCAGCGCACGCAATGCAATTTCTTCGATCCTATTGCTCGCAGTATAATAATAGTTTTATAGACTGAAGCCTTCCTCGATAAATGGTCTAACCGGCACAAAGTAAGAAATACTAAATACGCACCGGAGATTAGCGCGTTTTATTAATATATTATATTCTATATAATTTAAAAATCGAAAATAAATTGAAAAAAAAAAAAAAATTTTCGACTCGGGCAGGACTTTAACCGGCATCGTCAGCTTTCCGTGCTGTTGCTCTACCAATTGAGCTACCGAGTCCTACACCTCATTGTCGATTTTTTTCAACTTATACTTATTGATACATGCAAAAGCACGGAAAGCTGACGATGCCGGTTCAAGTCCTGCCCGAGTCGATTTTTTTTTTTCAATTCATTTTCGATTTTTAAATTATATAGTGCCTTCATGTGCAATAACATGTGAAAAATATTAATGTTTTCAAATATTATATTCTATCTATTTATCCCCACATCTGTAGTTAACGGTTAAACGTGTTGCCTACAGGACATCTGTGGGATGTTATGTTGCAAAGAAATATATGTCACTCACTAGTCATCTCCTCCAAACTGGGTATCGTGTAATATCCGGGTCTCGTCAGCTTCACCCCGGCCGGGTGGGGGGGCGCGTCACGAGTCGACACATTCTCCTCTTCGGATACTATAAACAATTTAGTTCAAGCGAATAGTACGGCGTTCAACGACACATTTTAACGAATTAAAACGCGAAATATGTATAAATAAGATGCAACTTATTTTAACTATCCGACACTTGTCGGCAGCAGTCGTGGCCATGTGAGACACATATTTCGCGTTTTGAACTACATAATATTAACACAAGGATTATCAAACTAAAAAAAAACTATTTAATTCTAAACTCTATAATTAACAAATGTACGATCTACATATGTTGATCAAAATCTTCTCTGTTCAGTCTAGGAAGTCATCAAGAACGATTGACTTAAGACGACAGATAATCGTACAGCTCAAAAGCTTAACTGAGTGATATTCGGAAACTAAATAAATTATTAAAGTTTTTAACTCAATGACAAATCATTTTTAAAGAAATTGAATTAACGAACGAACGAATAACTAAATATATCTAACGAGCAAGCTATTTTTGTACAGTAACCTCAAAGATAGGAAAACAACCGTAAACTCCTTGTATTTGATGCGCAATTTTTTCACAGGTAAAGCATGGCGTCTGCCCGCCCCAGCGGTGGGAACAGAACTGCAGATACTGTGGATCACCTGGGAATGGATGGGTGGGATTGACGCGTTGTTGAGGGTATTCAGGAAATATTATTTCGTGTCAATTAAATTAAAGTTTTTCTAGTCTATGGCAGATTGTTATACTTACTTTTTATCTTGTTTAAGTAAGTTGAGGCAAGTGAAAGAAAAGTAAGTATTGTCTCTAGTTAACGCGTTAGAGCACTTTAGAATAAACAACTTTTAACGGTTTTAAACGTTGCGCCGTAGGTGAAATAAATTAAAGAAGTACATATATTTCGCGTATTATTCCGTTAAAAGTGTTTTATTTATATTATAAGAAATTCATGAGATTTTGACCGCTTTCAAAGTCCTAACTAATGATACACCGAGTACCTCGGTCTCGAGTTTCTGCTTACAATATAAAATGTACAAAGGATGTCTATAAATGCAGACCGTTTTAATCCGTCAAATGTCACTCACTGTAAAAAGTATCGATATTCTCCTTGTCGATCGTCGACACCGATCTATCCCTCACTCCGAGCTCTCGAACCGAGTTGTCCACCATTTCCGGATTTGAGACCAACGGCTTCCTAAGTGGTTTAGTAGTTAACCTGTAATAAAATTAACATATAATATAATTCTAAGAGGTTCATTCGCAAGGTGGTTTCTGGTAGAAATCTTAAGGAAAGACAAATTGTTTAAGTTTTGTAGGGAAGTACTAATAAGAAGAAGATAAAACTAAAATATCTTACCAACTAGCCCGCCTCTCTGACTCCATAGATGGTAATTCTTTATCTGGAAAGGAAAAAAAATAATTATTTTCCTTATGGACTCTACTCAGTACTGTTTTTTACGATAGAGTTTTTATACAGATCACTTGATACGTGATATATCCTGACATATAACGTCTAAAGAAGATGTGTTGTCGCCCTATTTCGGCAATAGATATTCGGACAGTCGCAAAACTCAAACGTGATTAAACTGCACGGCTTTTTTATTTGTAGACGGAGGTTCGTGACCCGGGCGGAATTTTGATATCTCTACCGCTCCAATAATACCAAGATGCTCTCAACAAAGCCTAACGTCTTTTAAATTGGTTTTAGAACCATGTTTTATGGACTGGTGGTGATCAAACGCCTAGTTGTGAATTATCAGTTATTTGTTATTATTTGTCCGTCCGTAAATGTTTCAAATTAAAGATAAAATTATCAACTTCATCTATCCCTCTAGAGGTTTTAAAAGCTGGCACAAGATTCTGTTCGTATCAGTTCCGTTGACGCCCCTTGGTCTATTTATCCTTGTCCTTTGTATAGGATTGTGGGAAAGAGACAGCGTTTTTTTTACCTAAATTCGGGTACAGTCTTGGAGTGTCGCCTTCAATTGGTTTCTCTTCGGTCCATGAAGTTCTTGATGGCCTAAAAGTAATTTAAGACTTTAGAAATAAAAAATAGCAAAGACAATAGAAAGCGGTCAAATGTGAGTCAATTTAAACAAAGTCATATTATAGTACAAAAATAAAATGTATTTGTTAAGAAATTATTAATAACTACGTTTCTGATGCTTTGCTGCAGTCGTGCAAGCCCAATCTAAATTTTAATTATTAACCAAGGAAGGGCCTCTCGTGCTTAAGAAGACGATAAATCCCAGGTATAGGAACCTCATTTACTCTGCGGAACCCTAGTGTCCTAATAGGGTTTATGTTAAAGTTTCAAATGACGTAAAAGTTACTCACCAACTGTTCTGCTTGTCTGCTCGTAGTTGGGGCTCTGGAAAGTTTCAACATATTAACAAAATGTCGCAGCAGATGATCATATGAATGAATGAACGAATGATCAAATGAAATGAATTCGCATCAATTTGCTTTACCAAGTGTTGTATCTAAGGTTTTCTGAATGTTAAAATAAGAGGCCTTTTGTATTCGCAAGCAGTTTAGGTAATACAATTTTGAAATCGAGACAAAAATTGACAGTTGAGTTTGACATTTTACATTTAAATACTGTTTGTAGTTCACGTGAGTAGTATACATTTAAATTAGACACTTTAACGGTTTAAAACGAGTCTAAAACTACACATAAGTTTAAAACTACACGTAAGTTTAACTAATATATATATCGCGTGTTTTAGAAACATTTGATAAATTTGACAGTTGACAATTCACTTACTAGACTATATAAGGGCGTTACAATGCGATAATGCGATACATGTTATGGCGTAATAGAGCAACAGCCCGGAAAACTGTGGATGCCTGTTAAAGTCTTGCCCGAGTCGTAATATTTTTTTAAATTATAATCGCTTTTAATTCTTGTGACAATCTACTCCCGAAGGAGCCACAAAGAGGGAGTGGTTCAAAATGTGGCTGCCTAGAAGTAATTAATGTAATAAACGAATTGAACGAGTGACAGAGACAAAACTCACCATTATCTCGATCTTGCAGTCTGCTCTTGTGTTTTATCGAGATGTAGTTATCTGCGTCTCGCTCTGCCGTGATAGGGCTGTCCACTTCAATCGCTCCGTTCTCCTGCCGGGGTTGCTTCTGTTGCTGCGTGTTCTCAATGGACCGGTGCTGCTGCTCTTCTAGTGATCTAGAAAGAGACAAAACTTCCTAATAGACAATTACTCTCCCTAAACCATCTTCAATGATCTTAGGCTGCAACCTTAATACGCAAGTGTTAGGTGCAAGGACTCGGTAGCTCAATTGGTTAGAGCAACAGCACGGGGCGCTGTAGATGCCGGTTCAAGTCCTGCCCCACGATCGCATCCGTCCCTTCGACACCTTATTTTTGACTTCTGCGCAGGATTCTTTCATTCAATCAATTCATATCCTATATTAGACAATGTATAGTTTTATTGCGAATGCTTCTGCAATCATCTACTCACCTGTTGTTCGTCTGGCTGTTGTCCATCGAGCTCCGATTGGGGCGAAGTACTAGCCTCTTTCTGGAGGGCTTCAGCGTCAGTTTGTCTTCTAAGCTCGCATCACTTTCTTCGAGACCGTCGAAGAGGGATTTCTAGAATCAAAGAGGATAACTTGAAATACATATTATGGTATTAAAAACGCGTATCTTTAGATATCATTTTTATAACAAATCAGAATATTTAGAGTAAATACAGTCTATAGTTTATGCGGGTAGTACACATTTAATTAAAACACATTAACGGTTTAAATTGCGATATATTAGGTCTCCCCGTGACCACGGCTGCAGCACAAAACGTCGGGCCGAAGGTAAAAATCATTTTTAAATAAGATTAACTAATATATCGCGTTTTAAACCGTTAAAGTGTTTTATTTGAATATTTAGAGTATTTATATATATGTACTTAGTAAATTATGAACTATTACTGAAATATATATGTTTCACTGAATTAACCAGGACAAATTTTTGTTGGCATATAAATAACTAAATGTTGCGCATGCCTTTAATTTAAATACATAATCATCACATAAATCGTATTATACTAGCTGTGTCCGCGACTTTGTCCGCGTGGAATAGTGATTTGGTGTAGAATTTTTTTATTATTTAGGCTGTTTATTAATTTATGTAAGGGCGCATTTAAGGCAGGCAATCTATGTTGTAAGTGTTACTTTGCCGGAACACTCTCACATCACATCACCCCCACTCTCTCCTATTCCCACTAATCAAAAAACCAAAGAAGAAAGTTTAATTGTCTTAGCTTAAAAAAACACGAATATCCATACAAACTTTCTTCCCCTTTTTCAACACCTATCAACACTTTTTTGGCATTAAAAAGCCTTTGTCCTCTCAGGCTCTAAAATATCTGTATACCAAATTTCATTTAAATCAGTTCAGTAGTTTCGTAGTTAAAGCCGGACAGACAAACAGACAGAGTATTATATATAATATGAGTATATATTATAGATTGTTTTATAAGATTAGGCTTTTATAGTGTATTTAATTAGTCTAAGCCTCTTTGAAATAAATCTATACTAATATATAAAGCTGAAGAGCTTGTTTGTTTGTTTGAACGCGCTAATCTCAGGAAATACTGGTTCGAAATGAAAAATTATTTTTGTGTTAGTTAGAACATTTACCGAAGAAGGAACATCGCTCTGTGACTAATAGAAGCGAAGAAGCAACAGGCGATGTGAAAAAATCGATGCGAAAACTGTTAAAAAACTATGTTTGTATGAAATAATTATTTCTCTTCAAATGATCTAAAAAAAAATCCGCGAGATCATGTCTATCTTTTAATGCAAGAACGACGGGACGCGGCCGGCGGAACGGCTATATATAGATGAAATTTTGTTTGACATTTTGTTTTTGCGTAAAATAATTCCACGCGAACGAAGTCTCTAGCACAGCTAGGCTATTTATGAATTAGAAAAAACAGGCTACCAGTATTGCGATACAAACGATAAATTAAAGTGCTTACCTTATGTTGTGTGACGGGCCGAGGCAAAACCTTCAGACGCCCAGCGGTCGGTGAAGTGACCTTATACGCTGCACTGCTGCTGTCGAGGACGGCCTTAACTGCAGCTGGATTTGTCGGTTTCAGCACGTCTTCTGCTGTCGTTGCTGTAAGAAACATTTCAATATGATGGCATTGATTATATTAATTAATTAATAATAATAAATTTGACGAAGACGTGTGAGACACGGTAGCTCAATTGGTTAGAGCAGCCGCACGGAACACTGTAATCTTCTTCATCTTCAATATAAAGATACTCGATATACGCATTACTAGGTAAATGTTATGACATGATTTTATAATATGGGTAAGCTTGATGTCCAATTTAAATCTTACTCAAATGAATGCACTATCACATCCAAAATGGGTCCACTACAGATCTTGTTTAGATTTTATTTGTTGTTTAATCTTTCAATCATGACGGGGCACTTACATGTATCCGGCAGCAGGTCCTTAAAGAGCGGCGAGTCGCCGTAGGGTCGCGCCGCTAACGTCAAAATCTGCTCGTGAACGTTCGACCCGACAGATGCGCCCAAACTGCCACTGAAAAAAAGATATAATTAATATCAGCTCAACTAAAAAAAATACTCAACGGGCCGTGGGTTCGATCCCCAATGGGCATGCCCCAATGGCCAACATGTTTTTAATCAATAAATAATTATTCTAGTAGACTGGACTTTGTCTGGAAATCTGGATATTCAATGAGTGATAGAAAATTCATGCCAGGTCTACGGCTGGGATACTTCATCTTCCATCGAGTGACCAGCATGCAGGTTTCTTTCATATGGTCACGAACCGGATGCGTACGACATACGTAATAAAATAGTACTGCATTACATTTTGTTCGGATGTGATTTCCATAGAAGTGGCAAGCACATAGCCAACATAAAAAATAACTCACCCGGGCATCAAACTGGTGTTCGTGCTACTTTGCCCTAAACCTAAACCGCCACCCAAGCCGGTGTTGTTGTTGAAAAGACCACCTCCGAGACCAGTACTTAGTCCTATAAAAAGGATAAAAGTTATTAATATTTCTATAGCTGAGCTAAGTTGACGTTTGCGGTAAGTAATAGAAATTTATAATAATTTAAAACTCAGTAGAAACAAACAATGTAAACATTTTGCGCTAAGCAAAAATATCTTTCGGTAGCTCAGTTATTAGTAATTACGCTTTAGAAAAATATATATAGTTTCCGTTGAATAAAATCGATTAGTGAAACAGACATAAAAATGTGCTCGTCCTAACTTTTATACAATAGGTCCTTAATAGTTGTTGTCTAAAAGTTTTTTGGAAAGAGCAAGATCAAGTCAACTAAAGAATTAAGGAGAAACAAACCTGTCTGGAAGTTCGTATTTTGTTGCGGGAACAGCGACGTCCCGGTTCCCAGGGATGTCCCAAACGAAGTCGGCTTCGCCTGGAAGGATGTGCCGAGACCCGATCCTAGACCAGTACCTGCAATTAAGACGATTTTATAAATACATTTTAGACAGGCTCGCTGATCAAATGGAATAAATATTTGGTTTAATATAGTCAACGGGTCGCAAGTTCGATTAACTCCAGGTCCAATAAGTTTCAACGTGTCCGTAAAAGCTATAAAAATTCTAACTTTGCGCATTTAGAAAGTATTTAAAAAGAATAAGAAGTGGTAAAATTGATAGTTAAAGCTAACTTCAAACTAAATATTTTATTTAAATAAAACACTTTAACGGTTTAAAACACGATATATTAGATATAGCTGACGTGGTCACGGGGAGTCTCGTACCACGGCTGCTGCAAAGCATCAGAAACGTCGGGCCGAAGTTAAAAATAATTTTTCAAATAAGTTTAACTAATATATCGCGTTTTAAACCGTTAAAGTGTTTTATTTAAATGTGTACTACTGGTAACTATAGACAGTAAATATTTTATGTGAAGTGACACTGAAATACCGGGAAACTTCTTACCCAATGTCGGCTGAGAGTTAAATCCGAAGGACGGCTGAGTTGTCGCCGGTTTACCAAAAGTGCTGCCACCGCCGAACAGCGAAGTCGACGTACTTGTTCCAAAGCCGCTAGATGTCGCACCGAACGCTAAAAAGTGACAAAAAAATGAAGTTTCCCTCCAGAACGTTAGAAAAGCCGTTTTGTTAATTCTATGTAAGTAGGCGGTAGACCGAATCTCTTGCCAGTTTTTCTCTTTACAAACAAAAAAGATACTAAACGTTAAAATATCCATCCGTAGAAACTCGTGTTTTTGATATAAGTAGAACGTTCGAAACATACCTGGCGTAGCGGTGCCAAATGTCGGCGCCGTCGTCTGTTGAGTCTTTGCCCCGAACAGGCCACCGCCCCCAAAGGAACTAAAGCCGGCGCTGGTCGCGGGGCTACCGAAGGCGCCTGTCGTCGGCTTGGCGCCGAATAGGCCTCCGCTTTGCTATAAACATTGGTTAGTTATCGACTAGTTCCGCGTAAGTAGCGTATAGTATTCAGACTAAAAGTACCCACACGGGGCCATCAGCCTGATGTACAGATTGGGTGTGAGATTGAAAAAACTAGCAGTTTTTTTATAAAAATTATTATTAGATAAGCGGGCGGGTTTTCGTAATATCTTGTTATTTGCGCCAATATAAACAAAAAAATCACACCAACCAGACAATTCCATCAATTCTTTAGTATTTTTATAACTATAGACAAGAGTGGGAGGGAGAGAGAAATATATATTTTTCTCATATTATGATAATATTGTTAAGAGCTTTTAATTGATTTTGTAGATTACCTGGTTTTGCGTTGTCGACCCAAAGCCAAAAGTGGACGTGGTAGTGCCAAACGCCGGCGCCGTGGTCGTTGTAGCGCCGAAAAGACCTGTACCTATAAAACCATCAATTAAATTAATTATGAAGCAGAGATATCCCGTTTTCCCCTATGGGGCATGGGGCGAACACATTATAAGGCCGTTTCACAAACCTTATTACACATTTATAGGCCAATAGTTACATAGACAACTGTGCCATGCCCGACCGAAACCTGTTATCATTCCCCTGGACTTCGAACCCTGAACCTCTCTTGCCACGGTGGCAATAAGAAAGTATCAAAATTGCTAGGTGAGCCTCGCAGTACAGTCATTACAAAAAAAGACAAACAGACAGAATAGAAAGGCCAATAATTAAGATGACTTCATTCAACATCAAAAATATTTCAAAATGCTAGTGTGAGACATATGTATTTAGTTTTAAACACACACAACATACCTGTGGTGGGCGTGGCCCCAAATGCCGGCTTGTTGGCGCCAAACAGTCCAGTTGTAGTAGTGTTCTGAGTGTTGTTACCGAAGGAGAAGGTACCTAAATAACAGAAATATTAAAAAATGTGTGTGTGTAGTGTATTCGCGTCTTCACTTCAATGGGCAAACGCGTTGCGTAGAACTGCTACAAGCATGAGGGATTATGGATTCGAAATGCGGGAAAACGGTCATTTTAAATAAAAAACTTTAACGGTTTAAAACGCGATATATTAGTTAAACTTATTTGAAAATGATTTTTAACTTCGCCCCGACGTTTCGGATGCTTTGCAGCAGCCGTGGTCACGGGGAGACCGAAGTTAAAAATCATTTTCAAATAAGTTTAACTAAGATATCGCGTTTTAAACCGTTAAAGTGTTTTATTTAAATGTGTACTACTCGCGTAAACTATAGACAGTATTTAAAACGTTTTGACAAAATCATGATCAAACACTTGTCTTGGCAGCCTCGACTTACTTGCATGTATATTTCCCTTTTTTTAAACTCATCTTTATTTTAAAACAATACGTCTTAGCTATTTACGTGTCAATTCGCGAGCTTTGATCTCACTCAATCCGTCCCTTTCACACATATCGTCTCGCTCGTTCTTACATTCAATACCACACATTCTACATATTGCTGTGTCCGTTTTCGAGAAATAGACATATTTCTGTATCCATTTGACTTATAGCTAGTATGTAGGCTGTAGGAACAGATTCTTTTAAAAGCTACTTACTTGTCTGGCCAAACCCTCCGGTGTTTCCCAAACTACTGCCGCCAAACAAGCTGGGCGCTGTAGTAGTTGCTGGCTGACCGAAAGCTGTAAAAAAAAGACGTTAAAACCTCTTTACCCTTTGAGGATATGGATTTGACACATGTTTGTGTCCGTTTCATGTCACTCTACTCAAATAGACTCGTAGACTATAATATTCCTAATAAGTCATAACGTGGAATAACAGATGTGATATTAGAAGCTAGCTTACTTATTAACTCTATGAAGATTGAGAACCACTGGCCCAAAGCCATCCTCGATAAATGGACTACCCACCAAAAAACAATTTTTCAATTCGAACCACAAGTTTCTAATTAGCGAAGACAGACAAACAAACAAGCTATTAGTATAGTATTTAGTACAAATTACTAACTTACTGATGACATTCAAAGAGGTAAGTGGGCAAAGATTAAAATATATGCTCAGTGAGTTTCTATTTCATTACGTTAAGCGCAAGAGGTCCTAAGTTCGAATTTTGGAAAAACGCAATAGTTTATGTCGGTCAAGGCACAGTTCTGATCAAGTACTGTTTAGTTTCTAAATAAACGATATGAAAACGAACACAGCCATGTCGTTGCGAGTGTTACTTAACCAAACCTTTATTTTAACTTAATTTTAGTATAATACTCACAAGTATTGAACAGCGGTTTAACCGTGTTATCGGCCGGCTGCTGAAATCCGAATACGCCGCTGCTGCTGCCCTTTCTGCCGGCTGTATAGTCCTCTAGACGGAGTTCTTCGAGAGATTTAGTCTCGTATTCCTAAAGAGAGATATTGAATCTGTTGCTTACGCGAGTAGAATATATTAAATTAAAACTATTAGAAAAATTAGTTGACGCGACTTGTACTCGGTAAGTATAACTGTTTGAAACGTGATTTATATCCTTGATATTTCACGTATAAAAGTTATGATTTATTTATTAGAAAAATCTATTTGTTCACTATTTATCATGTAAAAACTGACGGCTTGGTCGGGACCTTAATATCTTAACAAGACACAGTTTTATTAGAAAAAAAGCATAGTACACAAAAAATCTTTGTCTATGCGAATGTATGTGTGTTACTTTTTCACGGCCAAATTGATTTTTATTTACCTTCATACAGGTGATGCAGTGATGGCGTATGTTCACCGTTTGGGAAGCACCGCCCTTCACCACCACATCTGTACCAGATACCGGGTGGTATTTGACATGCGCAGTGCCATTCGCTTGCTGCTGTCCAAAGGCACCTGAAAATTTTATCAGACATTGATTAACATAATAACATTATATTATGATATAGGACGGACAAACATTAGATTCCCTTGTTGGAAGGTGAAATAAGCAGGCTATGTCCCTTATAAGCAAGATTAAGAAGATGTGCTGTCGTCCTATCCACCGTACGTCCGGGAGTCACTCACTGTGCCCAAAAATGGGACATTAACGTTGAAATAATTTCAACAGCAATTAATGTCTTTGGCAGACTTACCACCAGTGTTAGAAAACAGCCCCCCGGACGCGGCTGTACCCCCCAAGGTGTTAGTGGGTTGGCTGAAGAGGCCCGTGCTAGTGGTCGCCCCGGAGCTGAACAGACCCCCAGTTGACGGTCCAGCGGTTGGGGTGCTGCCGAAGCCGAAACCTACAAAATAATAGGAGATAAGCGACAAAATTAAAGCTATTGTATTGTTTGTAGTTTAAGCGAGTTACACATTTGAATAAAACAAGTGGAACGGTTTATAACGTGAAATATACTAGCTGTTTTTTTTTCTAACTACGACCTAGCGTTTCAGATGATTTGAAACCGTGGTCACGAAATTACTAAATTAAGTTTACCAATATATATAAAATTAAACCGTTAAAGGTGTTCAATTTTAAAACGATTATGTGTATTGAAACAAATTTTATCCTACAGGTAGCTTGGTTCTTATACAATAAATGTTTTATATATAGGCTTTTATTAATAAATTATTATCTATTCAAATTATTCAACAATAACTTAAATAAAAATCTATTTACGGTTTGCATAGTAATCTTAATTTCAACTCACCACCCGGTTTCGCACCGAAGGCCGTGTTGTTCTGATTGTTTCCGAAGAGGCCCGTGGACGAGGTATTCCCTCCAAACAGGCCTCCACCAGTGGTCGCATTGCTGCCGAACGATCCGAAGCCGCTGGACCCGAACGCCGGCGTCGGATTGGCAGACGTCGACGCACCAAATAGGCCACCGGTGGTGCTAGTCTGGCCGAAGAGACCTATGACATAATAAGAAATCAGAATCTATAGTTTTATGACAGAGGAAGAAAGAAGAAGGAGAGGAAGGAGGAAGAAGAAGAAGGAAGGAGAAGGTGAAACACTGCAGGCATATAAAATCTAAACAAGATGACATTCGGAAATCTGCTGACTGCAACCGAAACGCGATCACATTCACCAGTTTAGGAAGTGTGGCACGTCCCGTTCGTGAACCGGACGGTATTCTGGTATTCCTGTCACCTAACTACTAGACCTGAATACTGGTGGCCCGCCGACAGCAAAAATAATACTAATACTAATGAATTCTTTAAATTTTAATACATTATCAATTCTTTCTTTTCTTTAATTACCTACTACTGACGGCTCGCCATTAGTTCTGTGCGTGTAATCTAGATGTTCCAGAAGTCTTAAAGGTCAACAAAACTATAGTAACTTTTAGAATAAGCTTATTCATATAATAAATCTGACTTCTGAAATACGCAATTTCCCACCAGTCCAGTTATTCCCTACTGGTTCAAGAATCGGGCGGGGAGAGGAGTGGGAGAAACGAGTAGCTACGTTAGTAAAACTACCGGAGGCGCTGCTTAGCAAAAGCTTCTACTAATAGTCTGTAGTATACGCGAGTAGTACACATTTAAATAAAACACTTTAACGGTTTAAAACGCGATATATTGGTTAAACTTATTTGGAAATGATTTTTAACTTCGGCCCGACGTTTCGGATGCTTTGCAGCAGCCGTGGTCACGGGGAGACCTTAAACACTTAATTAAAACGCGATATATTAAACTAAGTAGTAAAATATTTCATTTAAATATTGTATAATTACCTCCTCCAGTTGTGGCCGTATTCGTTGGGGTGGAGCCAAAAGCCGGCGGAGCCCCAAACGCACTCGTCCCCGTTGCGGTTTTGAAGCCCCCAAACGGGGAAGACGTGCTAGCCCCAGAGTTGAACGAGCCTATAAGAGGTTAATCTTTGTCAATATATGTATATACATCATAATATAGTAGAGCCCTAAGTGGATTATGATGAAGTGTCACACACTTTGTCCTTTTAATGTGTGGACAGTGATTCGTGACCTGGACGGAGTTTCAATATTCCTACCACCCATTTTATATCCAGATTTCCAGACGTAGTCCAACATGTTTCAGAAAAATTGTAAATTGATTGAAAAATATTGGATCCGGTGGGGATCGTACCAACGAGTCGTTCATTATAATAATATAATTTACTCTATTTCACCACGACTCGACGATTCGATTTGTTTTATTATTTTGACTTTTATACTCACCGAAGCCCGAAGTTGTTGTACCGAATGTCTGCTTTTGAAACATATCGCCGTTATATCTGGATTCCTTGTCGAATGTGCTGCCGGGCGTTGATTGATCCCCTTCCTGTTGTTATGCGTCTAGAATTCGGCCATATTTAATCTAGACAACAAATAAGTTAAAATTATAAGCGTTTTACCTAGATTTTGTTGACTTAGCACATTTATTTATATACTGTCTATAGTTTACGCGAGTCACCGTGACCACGGCCTGCTGCAAAGCATCCGAAACGTCGGGCCGAGGTTAAAAATCATTTTCAAATAAGTTTAACTAATATATCGCGTTTTAAACCGTTAAAGTGATTTATTAAAACATTTATTTACGTTAGATTAGATTGAACTTGAGGACGGATTGATTGTTTATTTTCACACTAAAACGATATCATCAATTTTCATAATATAGGTGAATGATGCATACACTACAATCACATACTGATGATAGAAAAGAACAAATATACCATATAAGATCTCAAGAAGATGCACTGTCGATCTATCTTGGATTTGATGTTTTGCCCACAAGGTATAACAAAAGCTGAGTAGTGACCCTCTACAAAAGAAATCTATTTCCCACATTTCTATGTCCGTTCCACTATACGGGTTTAACTACAGGCAAGTAGATAATCAGTCTGTGCCCTGCCTGACCTAAACAATCTATTGTTTACCCAGCATTCGAACCTAGCGACTCTCGCGCTTACCGGAATACGGTCTCTCTACATATGTCTGATGATATAGTAATTATCGTTTATCTTATGTAAGTAGCTACGGAATCGAAGAGTAATCTACTTAAATTTTAAATGAAACTATGATCGAATTAGTTAGAAATGTGAGCTTTTATGATTACTAAGTTTGTCTGTTATTTTCGTTCGTTCTACACTCTCGATTTAAGAATTGGTCATGTAAAGTTAGATTCTTTAGTTTTGTGACGTTTATAAGTGTATGTAGTTACCTATTTTTGACATTGACTTATCGAATAATTCAACACACACACAAAGCCTCTTCAAGGCCAGAATCAAGCAATATTTTCTAGACTAAACTAAATTAAAAATCGATTATGAATGGACAAAGATACGACACGGGCTGGACTACAACCGACATCTACATCTATTCAATTTATATTCGATTTTTAATTTATATCGTGCCATCATGTGAAAAATATTTAAGTTTTCAAAAATATTTTATTAATTATGGATTTACTAGTAATGTATTGCATGCTTTCTACTCTCTAGTTGATCTTTACTCTTTAACTGTGTCGTTGTGTGTATCTCCTGTAAACTAAGATTGTCTGGAAGAAATCGTTATAGGCGATAAGGCTGTCTGTGCACTATTTTTATATAAATTACTTATAATTCCTTGTATTTTTACTTGAACAAAGTTATTTTGCACAAAGTAATACGTATTATGATGTAGTTAAAGAGATATGATTTAATATTTTTTAATGATCTTACTACAATATCGAGTTACTAGATGGGAAGTAAAATACAGAACAAACATAATTAAGCATATAATACAAATCGAATTCATATTCTTATTATTATGAAGGAGGTAATAGAACCTTAATAATAACTAGTCCACTATAACATGCCTGCAAAGTTATTTAAGCTTCCGGGATTCGAACCCAGGGCGGCTTTACTGCAAGTACTAACTTTTAAAAATTGAAAATAATTGTAAAATGTTATTTGCAATTTTTTTTTCGTTCATCAAATTAATATTACGTAATTGTGTGGCGGCCATTTTGTTTTACACCGCAGTACTATGACTAATGTTGCAAACATTTAGAGAAAGTTATGTATGCGCAATAAAATGATTTTTCCTTGTAGCGCATACGAGTAGTACCTATTAAAATAAAGCAGTTTACGGTTTGAAACGCGAAATATATTAGTTAATGAATTGTCCTATTCTCTCCTCAAGGTTAGACCCACATGAATGGTCATCAATACTGAAAAAATTGTCTGCCATAGAAATTATGTCTTAATGTAATTTGCATATAACATATATTAGGTGTAATTATAATGTAACTTGGCTATTGCCGTTTTAATATAAAAAAAAATAGGCAGCCACAAAAAGCCCCAATCGTCGGGTCCTAACAGTTGTAAAATACCCGAAACGTCGGGTCATGACAGTTGTAAAACACCCAAAACTTCAGGTCCAAACCGTTGTAAAACACCCTAAACGTCGGGTCCAAATAGTTGGAAACGTCGGGTCATAGTAAACATAAGTTAAATATATTCCGCGATTTAAACCGAAGAAGGTGTTTTATTTAAAAAATCTCTTTGGAACCCTTTTGTATAAGAGAAAAGGCCTGTGGCAGTAGTGGAACATTAATAAGTCGATAAGAAGTTAATCAGTCTTTGTGTCCTATGTGGCAGAAAGTGGTCTTGCCTAATACAATGTTTAGGCAGAGATAATCATAGAATTTACATAACCAATTTAACAGTGTTTTTACAAAAATAACTGACCCAACAATATTTTATACCAAATTAAGTGCCTGGGACGTTAAATAATAATAATTTTATTATTTATTTGTCCTGCCGACTCAGAATTTTGACACGAAAGAGATTATAATATTTTTAAGAGATCAAATTATAAAGAGTTAAATTAACTAAATTACTAATAATTATTAACTAAGTCTTAAATATGGAAAATACTCAAAAATATTAACCTGATTTTAACAATAAAAATATAACTCATCGAAAACTAAAGATGTTAAATCTTTCGTAATCAAAAACACTGTTAAACATTCTATGCGAAACGGTCGTGCATTTTACATCTCGTGCGGACGTGGACTGAGGATAAAATGCACCTTTTTGCGTTATATACTAAATATTTGAAGGGCAGTCGACTCAATCGTGACGTCACAATTGCGCAATGTTTTCACTAAATGGTGCAATATTTGTAAACAATGTAGTGTCGGGTGCAAAAAATGTTTATCGGTTTCCAAATACGTAAATCAATAAACTAAATTATGTTTGTTACTCGCACACGTCCAAACGGCCTGATCGATTTTGATAAAAAGTTGCGTAGGCACATGATAATAAAATAAATTTTTCTTGTAAATAGTATTGTCCGCTGTGTGATTAAGTCGTATTGAAATCAGTCAAACCAATTCAAAGCTAAGTTAAAAAAGTAATAAAAAATATAAATACATATTAAATACTGTCTATAGTTTACGCGAGTAGTACACATTTAAATAAAACACTAACGGTTTAAAACGCGATATATAAGTTAGGAGTCACCGTCTCCCCGTAACCACGGCTGCTGCAAAGCATCCGAAACGTCGGGCCGAAGTTAAAAATCATTTTAAATAAGTTTAACTAATATATCGCGTTTTAAACCGTTAAAGTGTTTTATTTAAATGAATACATATTAGTTTATTTACATATAACCCAAGCTTTATGCCATGTTTTACACAGTTAAATATGTTTTATTTATTATTAATTATTTCCTTTTTAAATATAAATAGATTTACAAATGTATTAATTTATATTGAGGTTTTGGTTTTGTAAATAGAAACCTGTTTAAATGAAACAGTCCTTCAAAACAGATCTAATCAAAACCAATTTCAACTTTGCTAAATAAATTTATACTATACATATATTATATACACCACCTCACCGCCAAATGGTTAAACATATTGCCTAGCATTGTGTTAAGCTCGAGAAGTCCTGGTTCGAGACCCAGGGAAAAAAATGTTCCGCTCAAGCAGGGTACAGAAGTCTGATCAACTACTTACTCTTTAAAAGATCAGTAAAATGGATACAAACATTCCATAGAGGGGGTAAAGAGGATTCACTTTTTTTTAAATAAATGTATACCTTGTATAAACTAAACATAAATAAGAAAAGGGTTACTATAAATGAATTCTGTATACATTGAATATCAATTTTTTTTTTTTAATTTTGACATGGGATGGCGTTGAACCGGCATCTACAGGGCTACATGCTGTTACTTTTGCCAAATGTAAATTACGAGGAAAAAGTGGCTGCCCCTGTGACCTCGCACATTTAAAATAAGTTACCATGTTCAATCAAGTTAGCACCACATTAAAAATAAGATAACTTACATATTTGGAGCTTAAAAACTGTGAAATTAATTTAGACACAGATAAATAATAATAGCCGCTGTTGTGCTAACTCTTTTATGTAAATAATTAATTTAGTATTACTATATTTGTATTTTATGTGTTTGCTGTAAAGAAAATCCTATATCAAGTAGATAAATAGAAACTAATAACTATAACATTGTGTGAGAGGTCCACATATCAATAGGATAAAAAATGTGAATAAAATAAAGTATTATTTTTTTTATTTGATGTTGTGTAGGACGTGGTATCACAATTTGTTAGAGCAACAACACGGAACTTTTAAATGCTGGTTCAAGTCCTGCCCGAGTTGTATTTTTTTAAATTAATAATTGTTTTTAGCAACCAACCAACCACAAACACTATTCTATAACTGTTTCATGTCGCTAAGCTAATAACCACATCACACACTAGTAAAAGACAGGAAAAAATGAATAAGAGAAAACATATGAAAATCAAATAAGTACTGGCAAAACAAAAGACCTTAGGCAAAGTTAACATCCATATAAAAATCTCTTTATAATATTTTGTGGATGTTTATGATATAAAATGCTTGGTAGCTTGATTTTTGATTTAGATATTTTATTAATGTAGCATTGTAATAAACAAGTTTGATTTGAAAAGTAGGTGTTCAAAACGGTAAATGTTGATAGCTTCACTTTTGACAAGATAGATTTTACAAAATGAGAGTTGGATATTTCTACCTACAGTTCTGACAATCATTGGTCTTATACTTGTATAAATACGTATAGTATTATTCGTATATTTAATAGGCATTATTCTTAAACTATTGTCAGTATACCAAATGTACTTTAATGCAATAAATTTGGATTTAATATTATGACATTAGTTTGTGAATATAGGAAAATTGCAAGTTTAAGCAGCGCATAACGCGACAGTGAGATAGTTTCAGACTAGGATCCATAACAAAAATATTCTAGTCTAAATTATATCTACCCATAACTAGAAGTAATTAATGTTTTAAGTTTGAACACTAATAGAAGCGGTTGGCGAAAATTTTAAGGTTATCATTCAAACATGAAAAGATATAAACAAATCGTATATTTACGAGAAACACTTACTTAACTGTCAAAGTTGAGTTCCGATAATAATGAAACACTGTAAAAATAATTACCGGGCGATCAAAGTATTTTAATAATAATGGTACACAAATTAAACACAAACGAACTTTTAATAGAAATTTACACAAATTCATAGACAATTCCCAAAATGACAGCTATTTGGGCTTCAAACATGCCATAGACAGAGCTTAGTCACAGATAAGGAATAGTACAATTAGCGAACTATTTTAGTTGCCAGGTATTTTAGTCCCAAGAATATTTTATTTCGTTATGTACACCACAGAGAATATGTTCAATTCAAACGTGAAACAATTGCTGCAGTATTATCTAGATTCTACATTGTTGAAGTAACAATTGTTATGATATTATTTTAATACTTTAACTTCCAATTTAAATTAGACAAACACCATTTAATGAACGAACCTTCCAATGTGAAAGTAAATTGTGGATTATCATATGTATGACCGTATAATGTCAAAGTCAAACAACGTCACAGCTGTCAAAAATGGCGTTTCGTGGCCGTGATACTAGAAAGAGCGGTTTAAATTTTATTTTAATCATTCACTTTTAATATGAATAAACAAAAAGCTAAAGGCAGAAATGACAAAACCAAAGTTTTATATGAATTTTTCTGGTCGTGCCGCCTGTGCGGCTCTAGTTCAGGATACCGAATGCCTATAATCCAAAATATTATAGACATCGATTTAAAATTATGTGAAAAGATTCGACAATGCTTACAACTTGAGGTATGTTTATAGTTTTCTACGTTTCCCAATTGTTGTGCCAACTCACAGTAGGGCAGTGGTGGGTGAATGTTCTTTAAACTCTCTTCTATGCGACAGGACCCCTGCCCCCAAATACGGGATATTAGATTTTAAAACAATATACAAATACAGCTAGTTGTTACCTAGAACATTGTTACTTTCCAGGTTCACGAAAACGACAAAATGCCACCATTAATTTGTGGGTTGTGTGCAGATAAATTGGCAGATTTTTATGATTTCTTCACATTGTGCCACGAGACGGATAAACGGACAAGAGCAAGGTTGGGCTTCCCTCTTGAAGCAAAAAAACAGGTATGTGAAATTTTTTTTTCCTGTTTGTGGCAGATTATTAACAGGCAAGAATTTAATAAGACTCTTGTACCTTGAACTTATTATGTTTTCCTATGATTCTACTTAATACCATTTAATGCCATTATGTCACAGATGTGGCCAAGATATGGATAAGTCAGATTCAGGATAACACTAATTTTGATGTTTCTTCCAGGAGAACAGCACAGAAAACAGTCCGAGTAAAACAGATAATGTAAAAGTCACAAGGGGAAGAGATAAAATAAAAGAAGCTCAATCAAAAGAAAGTAAAGAAAAGGTTAGTCTATTTGTTTAAACACACTCCAAAAAAGATTTTTTTCACTTGTAAACACTGTGAGTCTTGTAGCAAAAAAGCACTGTTACCATGGCAACTGCACTGCTTAGTGTGCTTGGTGAAAATATATTTTAATTTTATAGTAAGTTTGAATCTCGCCCTTAAATAGACTCTGTTAGCATTCCCAGTTATGTGTTATTTTTTTTGTATTTTGCTCCCAGAATAATGTTGTCATAGAATATTGTAATTAACCATAATACACAATTTCCTTTTTTCTTCTTTTAACTCAACTACTACAGGCTTTTATAAATAATAATTATAATTTATTAGTCAGACCATTGATCCATTTCTAAAGTGTAATCTAATGAGTGTTAGAAGGATTAGTAACCGTGGTATATTAGTATGTGTTAGCCACTAAAACTAAATAATAATCACAATAAAAAATAATATACAAAAGCATGGGGGGGGATGATTAGGTAAGCATTTTGAAGTTGTACATTGTGAGACTGAGCTAACCCAATTGCACTCCATTCAAGGTATTTTGTTAAAATACATTGTTTCCATGTAGATTATTTCTAAGGAATTTCTGGACCACTCAATAATAAATATACTTATTGTGTTTATTTGATATATGAGTGAAGAAGTCATAAAATTGAAGTGAAAGTGAATTAAGTATTTACTTTATTCTCAGCTGGAGAAACCTGCCAACCGTGAAAATCTAAACCTGAAGTCCACTGCCTCATTGCCGAGCAAGCCATTTTCACCACCCCAATCTAGAAAGAAGGAAGATGTTAGAACACGATTGGTAAGTGGTGTCCTTATTACATAGATACAGTTTTGTTCACATTTCCTGCTTTCTGAAGCATGACGAAGCTCATTCTCTGGAAATCTGGATTTTAAATAGATGGTAGAAATATCGAATTTGTCAAACCACCGTGTTGTGTTTCGGCTTTAATCTGTGGATTTTCAAATGTACAAAACCAAAACAGGTTTAGATATTATAGAGCTAGGGTATCTTACTATTTCACTTACCATTAAGATGATAAAGGAGGACAGACTTACATGCCTCCTTTATCATAAAAGAAATTAATGTTTAGGTTTTCTGACAGACCAACTTGGTTGATTTACTGTGAGAGCAACCAACTGCTGTTGTATTATGATTTATATAGTTTTATGTAGAACCACAAAAGGCAATTTTGTGCCTTACCTTTCCTAATCGCTTACTTATCTTTTTCTATTTTCCAGAAAGGCTTAGGTAAACCGGGCCCGGCCAGTTCAAAATTAAAACGAGCTAGAGAGAAGGAGTCAAACTCAAAAGAAGTTCAGAATAAAAAAACTAAGTGAGTACTGTGCATAAACCTTTGTGTGGACTTTTTAACTAAATTTTATTTATAATATTTTTTGAAGGTCAAGCAGAGGTTACTTTAATTCATTTATCAAGTATATTGTATTATAATCTGATATTATTAAAAAAATATATAAATATTCCTAATTATTATTTTTAGTCTAACAGACAAAGTATGTTTGTTTAGGTGGAAATTCTCGTTTGTTAAATTATTCTTCTTCTAGAATTCAAGAAGTTAAGACGAGTGGAAACAAGGATATGTTGAAATGTGATATCTGTGGCGTGTTATGTCGAAAAGGCGGATCATTTGCGGCCCATTACAAAAGTCACAAAGTTAAGCCGGTAAACAACAGGTTAGTTACAAATATTTTGTTAAAGTAGATTATTTTACTCATCAGACAAGCATCGGTTATTCATTAAATATATAACCGCTAGTTCAGATGCGCTGTCGTCCTATGTTAGAACGCCGTGATGTTAATTTGCGTTTTAATTTCAGTCTGTTGATTTCCAAATATCAAAGCTAGGCATAGGTTGACAGCCCACTTAGTTTAGATATTATATGGCTAGAATATTTCACCTACCATCAAATAAACTCCACGCTTACCTATCCTCTTTTGTCATAATTACGACCCGGTAGGAATTTCTATAGTGCAATTCATTTAATAGTCAGATTTCAACATGTAGATAAGTGGCATATTGGACCCGATGGAAATAGAACCCACGACCCACTAGACCAATGCTTAGATTACTGATTAGGTTAAAATTAATATTTACCATTACATAGTATAAACCAAAGTCACTTTTTCTGTCCCTATGTACGCTTAAATCTTTAAAACTACTCAACTGATTTTGATGCGGTTTTTTATATAGATAGAGTGATTCAAGAGGAAGGTTTTTATATACAACGTTCACAGTTTTTCTGTTGTGTATTTAGTATCAGCATTGCACCCGAGCGAAGCCGGGGCGGGTCGTAACGAATCTGGATTTGTTTTTTAACCAAAACCTGTGAAATGGTCATTTGGTAGTCGACACTAAACCCAATTTTCAAGTTTTGAGGAACTAAAGATGTAATTTAATTTATAGAGTTTTGGAAACCCCGCCACGAAGCAAACGTACTGATAGCCAAGCGAGGGAAAGTATCAATTCTCAAGTACACGATATTAAAAGCAATATAAAGAAGTGCGAACAATGCGATGCCACTTTCTCCTCCGGCGTCGGGCTGAGTAACCATTCTCGGACGCATACTAAATCAAATAGGTATGTAGAAATACCTACATATAACCACATTCGGTTGCGCAGGGAACAGATGTATGATCAAAAACTTATCTGTTAATATTTGTAAAATTAATTTGGATTACAAACCGCCATATTTGTATTTCGCAGACTATATAAAGACACTGTCTATAGTTTACGCGAGTAGTACACATTTAAATAAAACAGTTTATCGGTTTAAAACGTCTCCCCGTGACCACGGCTGCTGCAAAGCACCCCAAACGTCGGGCCGAAGTTAAAAATCATTTTCAAATAAGTTTAACTAATATGTCGCGTTTTAAACCGTTAAAGTGTTTTATTTAAATGTGTGATCATGCAAAAACTTAAATTATACAAAAATATATAACCTTCAATAAAGCGTTAAACGGACACCGCTGTGTATATCTACACGTAGTTTTATTTCTTGTTAATGCTCTAAGTAATACAATTTTTAAAATATTTCAGGGCTCCATCTCCCGTTGAATGTGAAAAATGCAAAGAAAAACTGACACCAGCAACTGTCAAGGCGCATAAATGTAAAACGCGAGAAAGAACAATAGGTAAGTTGAAATTTTCAATTCACCATAACGAGTAAATAGACGGTTGTCTCTTTCCCACAATCCCTCACAAAGAACAGAGACACGTGGTCAGAGGGCGTTACCTTTGTTTTATCTCTTGTTCAGGTGAATTACTATAGTTGACATTGCAGTAGGGTCCGCCCGATTTAAGTAAAAATGTTCATTAATGGAACATGTTAACGTTCGCTTATTTTTTTTAAACAAGTTGTTTCATTTTAAACTTTTAATATTTTCTATAAATTAAAAATTGATTTTAGATTCAAAAAAATTAAGAAACGCGCGCTACTTGAACCGGCATCCACATCGTTCCGTGCTGTCGCTTTAACCAATAGATTTTTTTTTAACCCATTGATACTTTTCCCCCTCACTTTATGATAAATATCTCAAATAGTATAGAATTTTATTGTTTGTTATCAGGAAAATGCAGTTTCTGTGAAAAACAGTTTTCCTCTAAAGTGTCCTGTTTACGTCATCAAGCTACTTGTAAAGGTATGAATTGATTCGTCACCGTTTTCCTAGATTAAGGGCATAGGGCAGACAATTTTGTGTGTTTGTCCCCTGCCCGAGTGAAAAATATTTTTTCTAGTATTCAAACCTAGAATCACTAGCTCAACTAAAAGCAATGCGGCTTTCACGTGAGCCACAGAGGTCATAGAGAATCTACGCTGACTTATTCTGACATCTGTGATATTGTCTAGTTTTATCAAAATTTGTTCAGCCGTTTGTGTAGCGAAAATGCAGTCATCCACATGACAGTTAAATGTTAGTCATTGTTATGTAGGAAAATATAAGCGGAAATCTTACTTGATTTAAAAAAAATATTTATATTGGTCCAAAAGTCGCAATTACCGCATTGCGGGTTCGATTCTCAACAGTTGTTTGGTTTATCTTACATGTGTCTAACCTGAACATTTGAAAATGTGTTGGCCTTTGTCTGGTTAATCTAAAAAGTCTATTGGTTTTTTCAGCCAGAATTAAAGTGCCAGCCCAGCAAAGGAACATGAAACCGGTGTACGTCCGCACGACGCGATGCGATGAGCTGCTCAAGAACGAAGTTAACGGACATTACAATGTGTCCGCTGTCAGATGTGTAAGTGTTTTTTTTTTTATGATAGAGGAGGACGGACATACGGAGGGTTCACTTTATATTCGGTGCCTTATAACATTTAAACATGATATGCTGTCGACCTATTTCGGCTTTAGATTAAATTTTACGGCTTTTCCATCTATGGACGGTGGTTCGTGACCCGGACGGAATTTCGTTATTCCTACCACCCATTCAATATCCAGATTAAGCTCAACATGTTTTAATTACTCTAGTGGAATAAATTTATTACTCAGCGTATAGGGTTACCGAGTTGCACGGCTGTCTTCGCTTAGTCGAGTAACGATATGGGATACGGGTAACTCAATATTAGATAAATTCATTTTACCGTGATGGCACAACGAAAAACATTTCTCGAGTGCAACCGGCCAGCTCGAAAATCCAAGTAGTTTTTCACAAGATTTTTAATTGTTTGTACGATAGAGAATGATCGGACATTGTCTTTAAAAAAATTTGAATCAAACTAAATGAAAATGAATTTCGAAGGTCAAGCGCTAAACTGAGCATAAGTGATTTTTCAATAAGTACATGTTATATAGTAGTTAAGTAATATTGTAATTTACTAATAATAGTCAAATTCTATTGTTCTAGCCGTACGGTCTGGCAAAATCTTGCTTATATCCGTACAAACCGCGGAACCCCATTCTAAAGCAGAACAGAATGGTCGACATAAGGCTGGACGAACTTCCAGACAACTTCGACATTAGTGAGACGAACGATTTCATCCATTGGGATTCGGATAGTGATCACGACACCGCTTCTCTTACCAAACCTCGGAAATTACTAAGTCTATCAAATATCTGCCTAAAAACTATATTTTCAAACAAAATGCTAGGAAAAGTTCCAAAAAGGAGGAAAAAAAACAAACCGTTTGATGATGATTTTAGTTTAAACATAGATAACATTATTAACAATTTGGGCGATGATAAAAATAGCCCCTTAGACGATTGGAGCGATAATGTATCAGATTCTATACTAAAGAATGATTATGACAGTGATAGGATAAGTTTTAATGGCGAGTTTAAGGATGGGGACACTAATAACGGTACGTATAGTAATAAGAACTTTAATGATGATAAGGGTAGAAATACTAATGACGTGATTAATTATGATAAGGACAATTATGAAAACAGTAATGATGGAAATGCTCGAGATGGTAGTACGAAAAACAATGATGATTTAGACAAAATTAGCTCGGAAAATGATGGCTTAGGAGAAAATAATCAAATTGTAGAAAATAAATCAACTAATGATAATAATAAGTCTGACTCGTATCACACATGTAAATCTAGCAGATGTAGAAAGCTGTCAACTAATCAGAACATTTTAACAATTACAAAGGAAATCACTGAAATGAGTATTGATGATACTGAAAGTAGTAATAACGTTCAAAATACAGAGAAAGCAATAGAGAATGTATCAACAGATAATGATGAACAGACGCAGAGCTTAAATAATGTAAAAACACACAAAGGAGCAAATGTGTGTGTAGATCAAGATAACTCAAAAATTACAATGAGTACAAAAGAGATTTTGAGTACGGTTAACTCAAAGATTGAACTTCTTGAAATACAGATACTCACAGATAACGATGACCATGATAAAAAAAATAATGTAAATAGTAAAGTTGATACAATAAGTGTTGTAGATAACAATTTAACATCTTCATCAAATAATAGTACATCGCAGTTGAATGATAGTATTGTTATTAGTCAAAGACGAAGCAACAATGTTGTTACTGAAAGTGACGCTCAAATGGGTCACAGTAATGAGAATAATGGTGAAGGACTAAAGCAAAGTGATAGAAGTTATGAAGATTTTATTACAGAAATTAATGATAGGTCTGCAGAGTTAAGTGAAGAAAAGAACATTTTAAAAGAAGTCGTCTTGAAGGAAGCACACGATCCACTTTCTATCGATGGTATTCAAAACATGAATGTAGTTAAAAATAAAACCAGTGAATTACTTAATAAGATAGAAGAAAACCAATCTATTTGTAGTCAAAGTGTTAGAACAAGTGAAGAATTTGTTGAGAATTCAGAGCACAATAACAAAATGGAAAGTTGCACAGCCGTAGGCAAAAATTTACACTGCCCAATTTATAGTAATAAGGATACAACAAATGACAAAATCGTTGAAAATGCAGATAATGTAATTGAAAATTTAGATAAGAATCCACAAAACCTGAGCGATGGACTAGAAAATCTTGAGGATTTAAATATCTACGGTGATATTATTGATAAAGTTGATCCCTCAAATAACACAAAACCATCAAATATACATATTAATAAAGAAAATGTTGAAAAAATTGAACCTGACAATGTAAATAAATTAAATGAAAATGGAGATTTCGATATGAATGATTGGGAGGATATTAGCGATGGAGAAATTGAAAAATCAACAGAAGACGAATTACTTGAAACTAAAAATAATGATTCATTAGATTTAGACAATATTTCTGAAACAGACTTCACATTGGATTATTGACAAAATGGCTGGTGATAAACTATGCTGATGCTAGGAAGTAGTTGACTCCTAATTACCAGTGTACACCATCAAATTCGACTAAACCGTTTACAATAGTGTAAATGAATAGCAGATAGACATCCATTCCAAGACCTATTTACTTTCTTATAAGCGAAAGTTCATTTTTCTATCGAACATATGCCACATAATGTCTGGAGAATGAAGGTCAAAAACGGCTGGACCGTTTCTATTTTACTCAAATAAGGTAACTTAATTGAATTTTTGAATGTTAAAAATCTTGGACATCACGTGACACAGCTGAAGTATTTATGTATTGGTAAATAACTAACTATTTGCATATTTTGATACATAAGGTCTGAACCTATTTTAGAATAACAGATAATTGTCAAAAATTTTAATGTATATAAATATGAATGGAAACATTTATTTTTAGAAGTTTTAAATAGATGCAATTAATTGTTATACATGTAATGTTTTTTTAATAATTACCCTTTCCTTCATCCATCTACATCTTGTAGGTACAGTATTATTTGAAATTTACTCAAGTAATATGCTCTAAACGGTTTAAAACGCGAAAATACTGAAACACTGCTTAAAATGGAGAAAGGTCTTACTGTCCTATTGTGTATTATGATGTGTTTTTATGTAATATTGGACAGACACGAGATGAAAGGTGAAGTATCAACCACAATATTTTCAGGACTTTTGTTGATTGGAGATGAGGATTCAGGTGGGTCCAAGTGTGTTGTGCCGTGCCTGTGGCGTCCCAGTGGTGCAGGAGGCAGTTTCCTCCCGCCGGATCCTGTGCAGGTATTTTCCGAAGCATCCATGCCCCGACAAAATCTGGATATTTAGTAAATTCGGAATATATAGTATAATAATACACTTCCAATATTTTTATAACATTATTTAATATGAGACAATAAGATCTCCATCGACTTATTCAACCTCTTCTTCGCGTCCAAATCCATTTTGTCCAAAAACTTTGTCTTTATGTGTTTTATCAAAGTCTGCACAATAGCTAACGCGTTATTGTACCTACCCTCATTCCATTTAATTACATCTTCTTTTATCTCGTTCCATACTTTTTCATTGTCTGCCTTCTGCAACTTCTCGTCTAACATATTGAGAATATCTTGGAACGCCACAGTCTTGTTCGCCAAATAGCTGTCAAGCGAATTCATTACAACAATCGGCCTATTTTTATTCTTTATCAAATTCTTAAGGGTCAGAAACATGGCTCTCGTCATGAAAGCGTCGAAGTTCTCCACCAAATTTATTTGTCGCTTTAGCTGCACTTGCAGGTCGTAGTTAAGGATGTTGTCGAAATCTTCGGTTTTCAGTACTTCAGTTAACGCATCAGCCGCCTGTTTGACTTTACCATCGTCGGTTTGAAGCACTAAAAGTAGTATTTCTACTAAAAAGTCGCTAAATTCACCGTTCAGCCTACAAACACCTAGTTTCTTGCATGCGTGAATATTCTCTAGGTCTTTTTCTCTATCTATTTCCTTCTGGAATGCATTCACTGCATTTACATCGCTTCGTAATAAGCCTTTATCTACGTCTTGGTATAGATTATTAATCAATCTATGCAACAGCTTATTGGACGTGTCGATGGTGTTTATAATTATCTTCTGTCTCCCTAAATTCGTTTTTAACGTGTGATTGTACGTCTGTTTCAAATAATTACTGAATTTATCTTCGAAACTGCGTTTTAGTGTCGCTATTTGACGTTTCAGCTTTCTATCACCGGTTTTTTTCTTGATATCATCAAATACTTTGAGTGTCTGTTTATTGATGTGTAATATGAAGTCTCTTATCTTTGCATCCTCTTTTACTTTACGTGCTTTTGCTTCGCTGTTTTCAATATTTTTTACTTTCTTTTTTGCCTTTCTAGTAGTTAAAGCGTTAAGATCTATTTTATCATGATCTAAACTCTCCTTTGTTGACTTACTTTTCTCTTTTCTTGTTTCATCGCTTTTAACTGTTTTGTTAGTATTATGAACATTATTTGTTTCATTATCCTTCCTATTAATTTCAAGTATATCAGTATTATTAAAATTTGCAACAAATTTATGTATCACTTGTGGGTTTTCTGTCCTTTGTGTTCGTAGGAAAGGGTGGTAGGGTATCTCTTTATAGGCGTTTGCTACGCGATACTCATAGTTCCAATTTGGTCCTAAGTCGATTCTACCGTCAATTTCTACGGTAATTGTTAGTATTGATCTGGTAATGGCTGAAATAAGGTTAATTTTATTTAATCTTGATTAGAAAGGTAAGAATACGAAATACCACTATGTTACGATTTAGACTTCCAGAGTTCATATCCCGAAAAATAGGAATTAATGAAGAAAGGTTAATATCCTTTTGCAAGTCAAATTGATAAACAACCGACACATAAATGTGTCTAATCCACTGTTATACGCGATCATTTGCATAACGTACATACTTACAAAACAAACACAGGAGTTGCTCTAACATCGTACAATATTTATTATGAATAAGAATCGTAAAAATGTTATTGAAAATATTGTGACCATTTTATTTCAATACTATTAAATTTATTCGCAAAAATACCTTATTTCTCTCTATGTAAACAAACATATTGTATCTGGTATTAGAAAAAGCTTATGCTGACTATGTATCCTAAAATTATACAACTTACAAGTTTGTAAGTTGTTTATACTACTACTATTATGTAGTTCGGATTGAAAAATTAAAATAAAAATACAATAAAATTGAGGAATGTGGAAAAACTGTGAAAATGAATCATTTTCAGGATTTCCGTTGCGTGCGCTGCGAAACCGCTTATATATATATTTATTTATTTATATTGCTAGAATACGCCTTGCGGTGTATATAAGTTAAATAAATAAACTCACGTGCTTCCTTTTTACACAGTAGTTGAAAACACGAGTGCGAAGTAATTTGATCAGTGTCTAATCAAAATCTCATTAAAAAAACATGTCCGTTTTTTATCAGTCATGTCACTTTGAGTTGACTTTTCGAAGTCGAGTTAACTTCATAAATAATTCATAAAGCGTATTTAAAATGCAATGGTTTCTTCTGATATGTGAGTTATATATCATTTTTAATTGCCTTCACTGATCATAACATAAAAAATAATATTTTATTTCAATTGTGTAATTGAATGTAAAATGATTTAAAGACGAAAAATGTAAGTGCAGTAGCGTAGTTAGGTGGGCAAGGGCCCGAAGGATTAAATGAACCTCCGAAATTACAAATAGCAACAAGAACGTTAAAAAGCCCTTTAACGCTTATATCTTCTCAAAGATAAGGTTAGAGGGCCCCTAAGTTACGGGGCCCTGGTGCACTGCACCACCTGACCCTACGATAGCTACGCCACTGTGTAAGATTTCCAAATTTAAACTCACACCTGGTGCGCTGTGGGCTTGAATGATGACCACTATGTACCTGTATTTATATTAACAAGGAAACATACAGTTTATATATCTTTTATTATTCCCTTAATAACGTATCTTATTTTGAGCTAATTGCACATGCTAACCTTCTATTCCCAGGTTTCCTAGCAAGTATCCATGCATACAGACCATATTATGACCGAATCAACGAACGGAACATACACGACGATTACCTATCTAATAACAATTTTAGCGAAGACGAAATGAACGCTATAAATTCATATAAAAAGACCCGCCATTTCCGATCGTCCAATCGCAACGATATTTTTGATCCACGCTACTTTGAAAACAGAAGATTCTTCAGCTGGATCCCAAAATGGCTGCGCAGAAAAGAGAAAAAACCACCAACATATCAAGATTTGGTTAACGATAAGATTTATTATTTACATTTGACTCAAAATTTAACAGAAAACCTAGGACAACTGACGAATATTCTGGACGCATTTACAAAAGCGCTTAAGGAGAAATCTTTAATAACCAGCAATGTTAGAATTAGACGCGATATTAATAATACCGAAGTAACTACAACTGGTCATATGAACAATACTGATAAAGTCAATGGAGCTTCACAAGAAAATGGTCAAATTGATATAGCAACTGAAGTTATAAAAGTTGACAGTGATACTCATAAACCCGTGGAAAGAAAAAAAGCAAACGAGTTCAAACAAGATTTCTATGAAGAAAAAAATATGGAAGACATAAGCGATAGTACTTTAACTAAATCGGAAATGAAGCAAGTAAAAGGGATACCAAAAGAAGACTTCTATGAAGACAAACAATTTGAAAGCATAAATGGTAGGCGGAGTCTAAACAGATTCGAGAAAGCAACTGAAGATAAAACAAACTCCAATCATGTAACAGAACATGTATATGAAGAAAAGAAAACTATAGATAATATTCCAAGTGGAAGAAGAAGTTTCAATTCAAACGAACTGAAACGTAAACTAATATCGTCTATAAACGACACAGTCAACGTAATACAATTTAAGTTAAAAAGTGTGACAAATGTAAGAGAAATATTTAGCGACCGGGTTCTTTTTAATATCGGATACATTTCTGGAGCGCTAACAACAGTCAGAGGATTGGTAAATGAATTACAGGCAGCCGTTAGTAAAAACGTGGTAGTTCTAGATGAGAAATTCATATTAGACTTGTACGATACGATTACAAAAGTCAACAGCGCAACAGCCAGAATGCTGGATAAGTTAAATAGGTTCGTTGACGAAGCTACGAAGGGGCTAATCAAAGTAAATTAATTGAATAAAACGCACAAAGAATTGTCTGTTTCTTTGAAATGACGAAAAGAAGGGACCCTGGCATGTATGTTTGTATTATTGTAGCGCCTAAACTATTAAATCGATATAAAGAAACTAGTTTCTCTGTCAGCAACTTCGTCCGCGTATAATAGTTATTTTGGGCATCAAACATAGACTTTTGTTTAATCATAATTTAAGCTTTACCCAGTCGCGCCCCGTCGATAATCTTAGTATACATTTACTGTCGCCGACATTAGATCTTTTTTTTATGAGGAAAAAATCTTTTTTTACATATTTTTTTTCGGTATCTGGAACCGTTTTTGCAATGTACGCAACGAAAACTCAGTTTCCCCCATTTTTTCCCACATTTCCTGCTGTTTTATCGCTCCTATTAGTCACAGGTCAATTCGAACCGGTATTTCCTGAGATTAGCGCGTTTAGGCAAACAAACAAACCTTCGTTTCAATAAGTATAGATGATTCCACCAATATCATTTCTATGTTCGACATATTAGTGACGTCTACAGTAACGACTCGACGCCATGTTTAGAATTTTTCAGTATTCGGGCTACTGACCCCAATCCTTTAGTACCGTCGATATTTATAGTTCTTACCGAACTTACCATCTGCATTCTACGTCCCATTTTTCTAAATGACAAGACTCATATACTTAAAAAAATATATTTTATATCAGTCCAACAGAAAACACTAATGCATAACGACTTAACTTATTCAGAAAATAAAATGCATTTTTTAACAATATCCTAACTAATGTTTGATTACTAGTACAACGTCAAATAAAACACAGTTTTAGTCGAAACGTCTTATCGTAGTTAAAAATAATTTTCAAACATGTTTAACTAAAATATATCGCGTTTAAAACCGTTAGTGTTTTATTTGAATGTGTACTACTCGCGTAAACCACAGACAGTATTTAATACGACGTCAATTTTAAATCATGTTTGGCTATATAAAATACGCTACTTGAGTCTACTAAACAATACAAAATTACGAAATTAACGGATTTAAACGCGTTTTACTTAAAAGATTCTTGAAGCACAAAGGATTCTTGTACATTAAAATCTATTTTAGATAGGAGTCGATGTTACGGCCACAGCAATTGCACAGAACGCTGTGGTCAGAGCTTCGAGTCCGGTCTGAGGTATTTAAAGTGAAATCGTAATTTCCCTTCTTTTATGACAGACTAAGGGTAGACAAGACTTTTTTAGGTTTTCGACTCGTCTTGATTTAATATATATATCATATCTCAATCACGACTTTAAATAGCTCGGAAGCCCAATCATTTTTATTAAATACCGGTAAAAAATACATTCTTAATATTATTTCGTTGTTTAAGAAATGCAAACTATCACAAAGTTTTTGTCCATATCAAGTACTAACAAAATTGGTTTTAAAAATATTTAAGGTAGAATTCGAACCCACGATGTTTTTGTTATTGTGTCATTTGTTCCGGCGTAAAGTTGACCGGACTTATGTGTCCTGCCCTACCAAAACATTATTATTTCGGTCGGGAGGACACAGAAGCTAAAACAAATATAATAATATTTCAATATATTATTTTTGCTGAATTCGAACCTATAAGCTCGTACTTACGGCAACACGCTTAACTATTGAGCTATGGACCTCATACAGGACGGTTGTCGTGGGTTCGAGTCGCTGCTGTGACTATTTTAAATAGTAATAATTTTGATAAACACAGCAAGATACCTTTCAGTTAGTCGCGAATTCGAGTCTCGTTTTTTTAAGTTTTATCAAATTATTAATTAAAAGGAATCGAACTCACGACAGTTTCAGTTGAATAATATAAACTTAGGTACATATATTTATGATTTTTGAGAAACTCTAGAACTAAATCTCTTTCTTTCTTCTTTCAAGTGGATCCTTTCGTCTTCCGCAGCGGTTGTAGAATCGAATCCAGTACCACGGCTGCAGCGTTAGCTTTACTGCATCTATTCAAAAAGACACATTCAAAGATTACAACACAGTATTAAATAAAACACTTTAAACGCGAAATATATGAGTCAAACTTTTTTAAAAATTACTTAGTCTACCAAATACCAACTAAGACGGAACAGATGGCGCTAGCATAGCAGTTTTGACTTTGACATAAGTGACACCCGTCAGTTTTAATCCCCGTAACCGTGGTTTCTGCAAAGCATCCGAAACGGGCTATAGTTTTAAACCGTAAATTACACAAACAAAATATCAATGAAAGTAATCTACATTAGTTTTAATAACACATTTTTGAATATTTTAATAAAACGTGTTATATATGTATGTACTTATATCGTAATTGCGAAAGCATGGCGACGTTTGTTAGTCTTTCACGCTAAAATTGCTAAACCGATGATGATAAAATTTGCGTCAATGCAATATAACCTTGGAATAGGATAAATAAATAGATGAAGACAGAGAGAGAAAGAGTGAAATATCCTAGTAATATAAGTAACCTTAAAAAAACGGATTTAGACATACAGACTGGAAAAAACATCCCCATTTAGTATCCAGAATGAATCCTTCATGAAAAATTATTTTATAAATTTTAGAAAACTGGTATAGAACCCGTCGATCATTACCCATACATTTCTACCAACGAGCCTCTCGAAGACACTTACTTGGGGAACATATCGCTACATTTGAGGTCCGTCCACCCAGTCAGCGCTTCGTACAGAATAGTGTCAACCGCGCGGTCTGCTATCAGCTCACCAGCCAACATCCTCAAAGCTAACCTGAAAGGATAACTTGGTAACGGTCGAAGTTCATAACATTCGGTTAAGCTAAAACCGCCTTCATGACTCATAGGCCCTGGGTTTGATTCCTGCGAATGGCATTCAAATTTGGTCGAAATACTTTATATGGCAACGTTTGCCAAGTTTTGTTATAGATTACGGATACATGTTATAACATTGTAAGTCAAATTAGTATATTGTAAATACTATGCATAAAGACCAATAAAAAGTTAATATGTACTGTCTATAGTTTACGCGAGTAGTACCTACACATTTGAATAAAACACTTTAACGGTTTAAAACTCGATATATTAGTTAAACTTATTTGAAAATGATTTTTAACTTCGGCCCGACGTTTCGGATGCTTTGCAGCAGCCGTGGTCACGGGGAGACTCCCCGCGATATCGCGTTTTAAACCGTTAAAGTGTTTTATTCAAATTAATATGTATATTACAAAACCTTACCCATTAATCCTCGCCATGGTACCATAAGGTGGGTTCATTTTGGATGTTACAACCAAATTCCGACAATACAGCAGCCAAACGCAGTCCAAGTCCGTGTACACTTCCCCACTGTTGGCAACACTGGAGCTGTCATTGAATGACGTTTGTAGGTGGTTCAGCGCATGCGTGTTGGCATCTATGTTTCGGGAGATTTGGTTCTGAATGTTGGCATTTAGTGCTTCTCTATTTGACAGCTGGTTTAGGACCATTCTGGAAAAGACATAATACATTAATAAAAAAATATATAATAATTATTAGAAGGCTTTTTAAGAGATCCCGCTGCCCACGACTGGGGAAAACAGTATTTTTTTTAAACACTAAAACCGAGGAACAGCTTATTCGGCTTAAAATATATGGTATGTTTTCATTATTTCCATTTCATCTATAAAATTAAGTATTCTCTATAGTTTACGCGAGTAGTAGGGACACATTTAAATAAAACATTTTCTAACGGTTTAAAACGTGAAATTTATTCGTGAGTCAGTTCTGTAACGAGTAGACGCAAAAAAGAGTAGGTAACTGCAATGACTTTGACATTAGAGACACCCACCATCTTCTGTTCCTCCGTGACCACGGCTGCCGCATCCGAAACGTCGGGGGTAGTTAAAGAAAATGAATCGTATTCGTTGCATTTTGCGTTTTATACCGTTAAAAGTGTTTTAATTAATATAATCTTTTAAAACACTATCCACTTAGTCTACTAAAATAAATTAATAAGAACAAAGGACATCATTGACCAGTTTAGTTGAAAATTGACGTTAATTTCGTATCCTTATTCTTTCTAGGGAATTGTGGGAAAGAGAAAACGCTATATTGTCTAGTCAATTGAAGTATTATACTAACTTGGTATTCTTATAGGCTCTGCCCAAGTGTATGGCCGCCCTGGCTGTGCTCATCCCGATTTCTAAAACGTTTTCCAATAGATTCTTGCCTATAAACTCTTCAGCCGTCTCCTGGCGTACATTTTGGCGCTTCCTGAAATATTCCGATATTTAAAATTATTTTGAAAATATCTCTACGTTTAAGAAATTCAGGTTTTTTTTTTAATATACATTTTAACCGTGTTGAACTCGAATTTAGGAACAACAGTCAATCAAAAAACGTTTTGAATTCATATTTTATAAATGATTTCAATGATAACAAGGTATGTCTAATGATAATAATAAAACGTCTTTACTTGATCGACCATTGAAACTGAACTGAAAGACAGTCTAGAATATCTGTAAAGACTCGCTTTTAGTTTTCAGTCTGCAATTTCAGACCTCTTTTGTCATAATCCTCTTTTATCACAAGAACCCTTTGTGGTCTCGTATTATTTTTATTTTCTTAATTAAATACATACGCATTTTCGTAATGGTGATAAACTTCGTTCCGTTTCGACTCGACTTTACTCGGTTCCATGAATAACGCGTTGAAAGCGAACACATCTGGATCTTTCAGCATCTTATTGCGCGTAGCTTCCTGAAAATTGAAGGTAAGGTTCTGTAAGGTATCTAAAGAATAAGTGATTTGTATCCTTGTCTTTAATATGGAATTGTGGGAAAGGGACAACGATCTATTAACTTACTAAGATCACTAATCAATAGACGGCTAGACATTTAAGTAAAATCCCCCATTTTACCCTAATTACAAGATTTCCAATGTTAATTGGTCAAATTTCTTAAAACATGGTACTGACCATCTGGGAAATCTAAGCATAAAAACGGCTGTAGAATTGAAATTCTGTCCAGATCATGAACTGCAAAAGCAAAACACTAAATTGTAATCCGCATTTCGATTAAACGTTAAAGAAAATAGATCTATAGCCCATCTTTATTAGATGTTATGCGGCTAGGTTATTCCATCTTCCATCTAGTATAAACCTAGCTTACAAAATGTTGGTTAAAATATAATCCAACTGACGGGCTCGTTGGTTTAATCCCCAGCGGGTCCAAAATATTTCAAATTTTTCATTTAATAATTTTTCTGAAACCTGTTGGATTTCGTCTGGAAATTTGGATAATATTAAATGGGTGGTAGGAATATCAAAATTCCGTCCGGGTCACGAATGAAAAAGCCGCGAAGTTTAATCACGTTTCGCTTTCATTCTGCGGATTTCCGAATATCCAAAGCTCAAAAGGCCGACAGCGCATCTCGTTGCTGCTGTGCTATTTCACCTACCATCAAGCGAACCACACACTTGCCTGTCCTCCTCTACCATTGAAAAGAAGAACTCACCTGGTTCTCCCACGCCATCAGCTGTATGTTATGCAACAACATAACATCCAACGTCAAAATCCCGAACGACAGCAGACTCGTGCTATTCAAAATCCGTCGGTTACTGCTAACCACTGTATAATTATCGCCAAAATATACGTCCCGTAGCTTCTTCATGACTATGGTTATGTTCCCTTCGATCAAGCTCTCGTTAAGCGCTTTCAACACTTGTCCAAAGTTATTTGTGTCCTTGGATTTGACCAATTGCTGGTCGGAGCTGATCCATTCGTGGAGCTCTTGGACTTTTTCTATTAGGTAACTGGTCATTGTATTGCTTTCTAAGTAATCGTCGTAGAGATTTTCGTCGTTGTAATAATCTTCGTACTGTTTATACATATACCCGTCTGGGAACTTTAACTGTCTGTACAAAGAGGTTTGGGTTAAAAAAGTCTTTATGGAACGAATTAAAAATCAATTTAGAGTGAAAAATAGGCGACTGTCCCACACCTCATCGAGTTTCAAACCATTGATCAACTCGGTAGCTCAGTTGGTTAAAACAGCAGTAAAGATGTGTGTTCAAGTCGTGTCCGTGTCTTAATTTTTACAATTAAAGCCCTTTTAACGGTTTAAAACTAGAAATATTTTTGTAAACTTTGAATTGGCATTATATTATTTATTTTGCCGACTATTGTATTGTATTACTGTAGTTTTCTATTAGTAAATAAATAAATAAACTTACCGTTATCGAAACATTGTATTTTAAGTAGTTAAAAAAATAATATCGCGTTTTAAACCGTTAAATTCGTTTCATTTAAATAGGTCTTAACACTCACCTGAGATCTGGCAGCGTCGGTTTGAACTCGGGTATTATCATCTTCCCAGGCTTAGCCTGGTCTTTCTTTTCTATTCTCTTTTCGGCGTGGTGGATGGTCGTGTCATGGAGCGGGTGGATCTGTGGCTTTGACGCTAGATCTGGCTTACGGTTCGCTACTATGTTCTTGAAGATCGATAACTTCTCTAAGATCGGAATCTCGTCGATCTCATTTGGCATGGTGGATGTGTCTGGATGGATGGAATAAATTGGTTCCTAAAAATGTGTACGAGGTTAGGCATTTGGATACTGACAATCTTTTACATTTTATGACTAGCTGTGCCCGCGACTTCGTCCGCATGGAATAGTGACTTGCGGTAGAACTTTTAATTAGTTAGGCTGTTTATTAATTTATGTAAGGGCACACTTATCGCAGCCAATCTATGTTGCCGCAACACTCCGACTCTCACCTCACCTCACATCACTCCCTCTCTCATTTCTACACCCACTCCCACTCATATTCCCAAAAAGCCAAAGAAGAAAGTTTCATTGTTCTAGAGCTTCAAAAACCACGAATTTTCATACAAATAAATTCTCATCCCCCTTTTCAACCCCTAACCACCCTTATTTTGGCATACGAAGTCCTATGTTCTTTCTGAGGCTCTAAAATATATAAAATATCTATGTCATATTAATGTAATATTACTTTAGTAGTTTCGGCGTTAAAGCCGGACAAACAGACAGAGTTACTGTCGCATTTAATTTTGAAAATGGGTGTTAGGAATATTAAATTCTGCCCAGGTCGAGAACCACAGTCCACAGATGGAGAAGACGTGAAATGCGTACGTTTCGGTGACTAGATTTTTGAATATCCGAGGTCAAATCATATGTAACTTAAATTAAACGAAAAATCTTCCTTCTCACAACGTAGAGTAAGAAATTTTGTGCCCTTAAGCGCAGTCTTATTTAGTTTATACCGATCACTGTGTTAATTTATTTGTCTTCATTTACTAAGTAGTTATTTAGAGCTTTCGTTATTAAACCTTTCGGAACTTCGGCCAGAGGTAGCAGACTGTAAAACAGCAGCAGTGCAGCATTCATCTGAGTCAGCATACCAGCACATTTAGTTAACATATGTATTAATAGATTTTAGTTGTATTTTTCAATTTTGTGGCAATAAATATTTTTTTCTTTCTCTCAGTCTAAAGGTCGACTTTTAATTCTTGCATCTTGTATGGTTGTGGTATTTCGCCTTCTACTAAGTGAACTCAAGCTCGTATATCCTTACTACAGTGATATACTTACAGGTGCTTCATACAGAATCTCTCTGGATGTATACGTCTCGCTCGTGCCCCATCTAGTTATGACAACTGTTGCGAGGACCAAAATGGCGCAGACCGCGAAACAGGACGCAGTGGCTATCACCCACACTTTTAATGGCACCTGTAATCAGATTCAATTGTTGTATGTTTAGTTTACTCCATTTAACGGTTTACAACGGTGCTTGACCGATCTATGACCCGACGTCTTGAATGGTTTAAAACTGATGTGTATGTGGGTGTCGTTGTTAAAAGTAAATTACTTCTTGCAAATTTCCCTTACAGTCACAATATATGGAAAATGCACGACATTCTTATTTAAGAGTAAAATTTTGTATTTTTACTCTTTATTATTTACGCGAGTACACATTTAAATAAAACACTTTAACGGTTTAAAACGCGAAATAGGTTATTTAAATTTTGGTAACAAATTATTTTTAACTACGGCTCAACGTCTCGAATGCTTTGCAGCAGCCGTAGTCACGGTTGCATCCGAAACGTCGATAATAATAAATATCGAGTTTTAAACCGTTAAAGTTAAAAACTAAAACAACATGCAAAAAAGAACTACTTACGCTGGTCTTAGTTGGTATTTCGTTGCACTCGGGGCGCGGCGGCAACGGTCGTCTCGCGTAGTACTCGTGGGGCATACCCCGAGAGGGCGTAGCGCGAGCTGTGGACGATCTCTTCTCGTACTCGTACTCTATCATCTTCTGTAATTATCATTTTCAAACAGGTTAATTAAAATTTATTTTCATTAATACTTAATACTTTGGAGAACAATAAAAGTTGATTTTAGTTTTAAAAAATTACAACACGGGCTGGACCGGCTGCATTACAACAGGCGTCGTTCTGATCTGTTGCTCTTTTGTGGGCGAGGTGCGTGTATCAATAGGTTGAGAAAAAATTCAACGATGACTTGTAGGCCACGGTAGCTCAATTGGTTAGACCAACAGCACGGAATGCGGCGCATGCCGGTTCAAGACCTGCCTGTGTCAAAATTTTAAATCTAAAGTCAATTTTTATTCAACATTCAACACTGTTTAATTCCTTTTAAATATGAAACCCAACGGTAAGTTTTTTTTGAGAACAGAGTCTTGATGAAGGGTCATATGACCTGGAGTTATGAACAACTGAAAATCCGAACAAGATAAGTGGTTGTCCTATATTGGTTTTGGATACTCAGACACACATCAGTAGGTGATATATATATATATATATATATATATATACTATATACCACTACCACCCATTTTATATATAGGTATATATCAAGTGGGTGGTAGAAATACCGAAGTCAATCCATTCAGGGTCATGAACCACTGTCCATAGATGATATTGTTTCGCCTTTAGTCTATGGATTTATGAATGTAACATTAAAAAAATGGGTCGACAATTTTTGAGGCCGCTAAAGGTAGAGTAGCCTAACTGCAATTTGATGACTTGAGTTATTTATATTTTCATAGTCTAAAAATGTTAATCCACAAGAGCGCAGTGACCGAAAATTGTTAGCATAATTCTTACACATACTGATAATGGTACAAATTCGTTTTCGCCTAAGCTAATTATGCATTTTTAATTTTCTCGTTCTTGAAAACTAGCTGTGTCAGCGACTTCGTCCGCGAGAATCATTATTTTGTGCATCCAAATTAGTTTTTGCAAACCTCTTCATCTTTATAAACATAAGTTGTTACCCACGACGACGATCGCGTCCCTTCCCGTCGTTCTTGCAAGTTTATCTTAAAATATTGACAAATAGCGTTACGCACTTGTTTTTCTTCACGCATTCCTTCATACAAATTTTTGTGGTATCTTGAACTGTTTACAGCGTACGCCTCGGAAACCCATGATGATTTATAATTTTCCCAATTTTTTTAACATTTCTCGCTGTGTCTTGGCTTGTATAAGTCACAGGGCGATATTTTATAGCCTATAGCCTTCCTCGACAAATACTCTAACGAACTCAAAATAATTTTTCAATTCGAACCCGTAATTCCTGAGATTAGCACGTTCAAACAAATAAACAAACTCTACAGCTTTATACATATATTAGTATAGATCATGTTTTTTGTTATTAGGCCACTCTGGCTTTAGCAGCCTCATTTCTTGTCTGTTCTCTACTGTCCTAAAGAACATTTTGCATCGGATAATGGCCAACAATAATAATCGGCTTGAGAGTTTACGAACTCATCAACATAATGTTACTTTAGTTTAAAATGACAGTACAACAGTTACGATTTCGTAAAAGCCATAATCATGCCACCGTTCGTCGCAAATTATCTGTCATATTGTACTTTAAAAAAATCCCACGCTGTCAAAAAGTCACGGCGACTGCGCGTGCGCCGTTTTCACATTCACACGATTGCGATAATACACTTATGGAACGATCTATGCAAATGTCAAAAAAGGCGATCCCCCCACAGTGACTACGCTGCGAGGTATACTAAACTTCTAGTCGGAAATTTTACAAATCCAGTCTTTTTTATAATACAATAATGTAATAGTAAGTCTCTTTGTACACTTTAAATAAAATGTGGTATTTAGAATTATTTTATGTGCCTCGCACCTCTCTGTTAGTGTTTACTGCATTCTACTACGGATAAATAGGTCACTGGCTTGAGTCCTGGGTCGGCCAATATGTTACTTCTGTAAACACAGACCACCACTGTAAAACATCCGTCATGTCGGACCGTATTTAAACTACGTGAGGAATAAGTTAACTAAAATATTTCGTATTTTTGAGATTTAGGATTGAGAATTGATAACGTTCTAACAAACTAACGTATCTGTCGTTAACGCGAGTGATACATTTGAATAAAACACTTTTAACGGCTTTAAATGCGTTATTAATACCAGGATACTTTGCAGCATCCTGGCTCACGGAGGGACACTTATACATTTCACATTTTGGTCCGTTAAATGTGTTATATTTAATCGTCAAATACGTAATCCTGAATTTTAAAAAAATTACGACTCGGGCAGGACTTGAACCGGCTTTCACAGTGATCTGCTACCAAGTCTTACACGTCATTGTCGAATCCTGATAACCTATTGATACATGCATTCTCGTAAACAAAGTAGAGTCGTTCTAAAAAGGAAGATGTTTTCTCATGTAAAACGATATCCGGAAGCTGTTAAGAATATGTAGTGCGTGGCATTACATATCTTTAAGCAAATAGGGCGGAACGTTCCCTAGCTATGTCGAACGGCCGGTTTCCGGTTGAAGAAAAGCGGCTTTTCTTCACAGGGAAATGTCGAGTTGGAAATTTCAGCTACACAGATGAAAACAAGGTATTGACTTGACTTATTTATATTTTTAGCACAGTGACCGAAAATTGTTAACATAATTCTTACACAAATAATGGTGCAAATTAATTTATGCCTAAGTTCGGCATTTTTTATTGATAATCATGTTTTTTGCTATTAGGCCACTCTGCCTGTAGCAGCCTCATATATGGGTGTCTAAGTTGGTCACGATAACCGCGTAAAACATGTTCTCCCAGGCATGCGGGTGATGATACTTTCCTGTGAATGTCCAGGCTGGTACCAGAAAATTTCCAAATATAGAACCAACCTCGTTGGTTTAATGGTAGCAATGTATGATCAACGGGTCGTGGAATCGATCACCACCAGGTCCAACGTGTTCCTAATTTTTCTGAAGCATGTTGGACTTCGTTTGGAAATCTGGATATTAAATAGGCGGTAGGAATATCGAAATTCCGTCCGAGTCACGAACCACCGTCCACAGATGAAATGCTTTGAAGTTTAATCACGTTTAGGTTTCAGTCTGTGGATTTCCGAATATCCAAAGCCAAATAGATCGACAGCGCATCTTTAGATGCTATCATAAGAAAAGAACTCAAGACCATATAGGACAACGAGGGAGAAAGAGTTCCAGTACAGTAAATTGTCGTATTCTGTTCCAAGGGAATTTGTTTACCTTACGAGTAAGATACCTTACCCTACCCTGAGGTATTTCAATATGTTCCTTTGATTGTTTCAATTTGAAGGTCGATAATTGCGTAGATCTTTTATACTTAAATATCGACCGTGGTTTAATTTTCCGTGTTGTTTAATATAAATGTGAAACTATTTTATTTTATGGAATATATTAACTGTGGAAACATGTTGACGTCTTTAGTCTATGAATTCGTTGTGAATAATTAATCGATTATTGATTTTTACAAATTTGTTCGATTGTTGTAAACAACACTTTCCATAGATAATGTTGACAAATCATAGAAGTTTGACAATGACAGCTGTTTCTGAATTATTATTTTATTCTAAGATTTTGAAAGCCATATAAAAATACTGGAATATTGTGACATTATTGAAGGTGTAGTTTAATAGTGTTAGCTAGTAAATAATGTATAAAGACGATCGTGGATGTTTTGGCGGTGAATTGATTAATTAAAAATTACAAATTCAGTTATCGCGGATTACAAAGTAAGTAAGTAATAGTGAGTAAAGTTTTTTACAATAAGTAAACGAGTGTAAGTCTCCAACACAACACTTGGTGGCGTACCAATGCAAAATATGGCGGAAGCGGTCCCGAATGTTATATAGTAACGCGGGTAGACATGTAAGGTAGGCTAATAAATCAGCTGTTGCATCCCGTCTCTGACTGGTCATATTTATAGTCTGTTATCTATGAGTTATCAGCTTCGCCTATTGAAACAATATTTTAAGCTGTCAAATCTATGGCGCCAAAGATTTGATATTTGACAGGGATGTCCATAAGTCGAAAATGCATTTTTTTTTTCAATATTATTTTTCATAAAATCTTATAGTGTAGTTGTTTATTATTGTTTACAGTTAACTAAGTTATGTTAAATTAACTAGTTTATTTCGCGTTTTAAACCGTTAAAAGTGGTATATTGAATTATTGTTATTTCTCACCCAACATCTATTAGAAGGAGTTTTATGCCTTATTATTTGCTAGTAAAAAGTGGTCGTGGTCACGGGGGGTCTAAATAACCAGATATATTAAGAAAGAACTTAATATTTCGCTTTTTAAACTTACTGATGCTAACTTAATACTTCGCTTACGAATCGTGCTATCCCTAAAGGAAACGACCAGGATCCCATAACACAAGAGATAAGAAATAATTTGTTATCAAGTAAAATAATTACTATCTGCGTCCCGCGACGTATCCCGGCTTTTTAAGAGGCCCATTTGTCGCGCACCATGAAGGCAATGTTTTAAAATAAATAGCTGATGTGTTACTAGACAGTGCAGCTACATCTTAAGCAAGTTTTATCCGTAGATCTATAGGTGGAACATAGTATCAAACATTCCTATTAAAAATATAATGGCTCCAAATGAATGTTTATAAGTGAATATCTAGGTATTTAGACTGTATTTTTTATAATCTATATTTGCAAATAAAAACAAAAAGCATTAAAAAACAATTTCAACGGCTTAAATCACAAAATTATTAGTCAACTTATTTTTAATTTTATTACGGCCGGCATTAAGGATGCTGCCAGCCGCTCCGTTCGACTTTTAAACCGTTAAACTATTAAATGTGTACTACTCGCGTAAACTACAGACAATACTACGAAAAAATTTACAATATGTAAAATACAAGTTCATATTATTTAAATAAAACACTTTAACGGTTTAAAACGGGATATATATTAGTTAAACTTATTTGAAAATTATGTTAACTCTAGCCCTACGTTACAGATGCTTTGCAGCAGTCGTGGT